CCTAATTCTAGAGTCAGGCTGTGCTTGCAAGCATGTATTGACAGTTAAGTGTCATTTATTCTCTAGAACTACATTACCACACATGAGAAACAAACCTGCTGCTAATCTGTTTGGTCAAGCTGTATTTTGTGCTGGAGACAACCCTGCTACTGTTCAAATTAAGAGGGATCAAAAATATTCTTCCCTTTCCAACCTGTTTACAACTGGTCCCTCAAAAACTGTAAAAAAATAACATCATAAACTAAAACAAAAATGCCCTTTACTGCAAGCATGCTTACTCCCCATGACAAGGGAATTCACTTAAACAGCATGTCAATTAATTTGTAATTCAGACTGGCAGCTCTACAAAATGGAAAGATACTGCTTTTGATTACACAGTGCAATAGTGCTAATTCAACAGACAAACTAAACACTTCCCCATGAAAAGACAAAGTCGCTGATGTTTATATAAGCAGCAGTGAAAGAAAAATCTAAAGGCTTGCCCATAAATTATGATTCCCCAGAATATGCCAGCAAGCAAAAGAAAACCCTGAAATAATGTTAGTTTAGGTCCTTGACAGAAATACATTTCACACAAACTACCCCTGGCTCAGATAAATTCCACTGTGCCCCTTCAGTGCAATTTACAGCATCCAGCGCTGCTGATAAAGGTCACAACTGCTTTACTTCTCCTTGCTTTAACTGAAAATGTATTTTACAATCAAAGTTGCAGTAAACCCACTGTATATCAGAGCGAAGCAATGACACATCCAACCCTGTGGTGTTAATTATTACTTATTACCTTCATCTATGAAAATAAAGAAAAGTCTGACCAAATAAATCTACAGGGTTTTTTAGGTTGGTTTTTTTTTGCCAATGAGACTGGCATTGTGCAGCCTCTAACCCAAGTGCTACAGAGAATTCAGACTGCAAACCTTGGGTGTCTTCAAGGATGAGTATTTTCCAGGAAAAAAAATACATGATGAAAGCACAACTTCACTGCTCTGCACCTCTACCACAATGTTTGCTTATTTTTAACTTCCAAACACTCACACCTCCCACTACACACTGTTTCATTTGTCATATTTCAAAACTGGAAGCTAAAGATATCTCCATGAGTAGGTAATTCCCATCTAGGTAGTGCACACTGATGGCACCTGCATGATGTGTCCCAGACAGGTAACCCAAGCACTGCCCACTGCACAGCCAGTTCTGGCTTCATCACCCTCTGCTTTTCCCCTTCCCCTCCAAGGAGCAGCTTTTCAATACAGCCCTCACAAAAAGGGTACAAAACTCCCAAGAGATCTGGAGGAGGTTTTTCCACAACACAGGTTTATGCAGCAGTTTTAGGTACTGTGGTGACAAGAGGAGACAGAAGTAGTGTCAGTAAAGAGGCAAGAGACAGAGGCAGGCACAGGGAGCTGTGCTTACGGCCTCTCCTTCCCCAAGCATGCCGAGTCTGTCAGTGCTTCCAATAAGTATATCAGGATGGTTGAATGACTAAATTTTCTTGTTTGGGCACCACAGGTGACCCAGAAGGAAAGGCCTATCGATCGCTGTCACTCAGACCACTTAGGCTGAGCCCAAATTAACAGAAATGGCAGCAGTACATGCTGTACCTCAAAGCGAGTCCTCGCAGAGTTACACCAGCCAGCAATTACTGCTTGAATCATTTGTGAGCAGCACTTGAGGGACACTGGGGTGGAGGAGAGCCCAGTGGCTCCACAGCCAGCTGAGCCGCCACACCTCCCAGCCCAGCTGCTCTGGGAAGCCACCCACGCTGCTGGAGCCCCCCAAGCCACCCCTCCTGCTTTGGGAGGGCACAGAGACAGCAACAAACCATGGGGCCCACCTCAACCCCCGCCTGGGGGCCACCATCACACCCTGGGCCCCGGCGCCTCAGCGCGGCTCCGGCCGAGCCGCCACAGCCGCTCTGGGGCACAGACTCAAAGGCTGCAAAGTCACTTTCCACGCAAAGAGCTGACTGATAAAACATCCCAGGTGAGAACATCACTTACATCTGCTGCCAACAGAGTGTCTGCCTCTCACACAATCACGAATGTCGTTTCCACTGACTTTCTGTGCGTCACAATAAGCAATCTGCAAGCAGCAAGCGTGGTGCAATGAAAATATTTCAGCGCTGATGTTTTAACACAGGAACTTTTGCATCTCCAGCACACAGGAGCCAGTGTTTCAGAGCTCAACAGTGCTCTTCTCTGTGACTGCCTGAAACACAACCCTGCGGCCAAGGAAGGAGCGCAGAGGGATTTCTGCAAACATGCTTTGCCACAGGGCCGCACTGATTGCTCCCTGTTAGCAGTGCTGTGCAACAGGCAGCTCTCCCAAAATCACTTTTCCAAGCCTTTCTGAGGAAGGTCTTATTAAGAAATAAAGATGCAGCTTGGCAGGCGGTTCCAGACAGTCTTGTTAGAGCTTTTGTTACAAGTAAGCAACACTAATGGACTGCAGTAGAAACTGACATGTAAATTGTGCCTTCACCGGCTGTTTGACACTGAATTTTACAAAGTATCAAGAGACTAGAAATTGAAAAACAGATTTCTAGAAATAGAGGCACCATAAGGTCTGTTTAGTGTATTACTTCTTCAAGTAATACAGCACAGACCTAGGGAAAATATTTAAGGGTTAAAACTGGAATAAAAACAAGTAACACAGCAGGCAGTGTCTGAGGTCAAGAAACTACTCTCAGAGTAGTTTCAGTTCAGCAGAGATTGCTACAATTCAGGCTGCTCGTGTCTAAATTAAAAAAGAAATAAGATCTTCCTGCATGAACACCTTATATAAATCTACCAGTGCTTTCTTGCACTGTAACTTGTGTAGAATAATTTTTATTATTGATATAGACAAAGCGTCTAATTTTGGGTTGCTGAATCATACATTGCTGTCTGGAATAGAAACTCTGCTTTGCACACATTTGAAAAGCAGAAGGATTAAAGAAGAATCCTTACCATGTCAGCTATTAGTTTACACCAGCCTGAGAGCCCACATTTCAAGTGCAGTTAAAACATTATTTGAACAGATATGTTTGCGGGAATAACTGTTTGCCATAACTAACTTCCAAAGAAGTTCAACTTACAATCTCACTGCCCTGAAAACAGGGATAGGAGCTCAACTTTCTGCTCAAACCTGTCCCTGGGGGGTGCATTCCGAGGGGCAGCAAAGGCTGAAGGTAATGCCGTACCCCCCCAACACACAGCAACCACACCACAGCCTTCAGAGAAATACTCTGAATGACCAAAAGTAGCAAAGTATTACAAAAACTGGAAGTTAGAACTTCATTGAATGGTCTGGTATTTTTCAACAGTTTTGGATTTTTAAAATTATTTTAACTTTTCATACTACTTATCAACTAAAGCAGTAGTTTTAATAACAAAGTTAGAACCTGCTGAAAAAACTTGCTGCTCAAATAAAGAAGCCTCCTTGCTCACTCCAGAAGAAATCAAGCTAGATACTAAAAATAACTTGATAACTCCTGAGAAAACAAGCCAAGAAATGAAACTATTTTGGATTTCATGTGATAATAATGTAGTGGGATTAAATACCTTTGTATGCCTAGAACAGAAATCAGAAGTACAGACTCTAAACAGTATTACAGCAAAAAACAGGTTTGGGCATATTGTTGGAAATACATGTGCTTGGACACCTCTCACTGAGGGAATTTCCTGTATACATTTCTTTATTTTCCATACTGAAGATAAACGTTGTTTCTACATCCTGGCTCCGTGAAGCAAACACCACTACATGAGTGAAAGGCAGGGAAGGCTTTGCAGGATGGGAAGGGGCACTGGAGTCTCCGGCTGACTTTTGCACGAAGTAGGAAACCTCATCAGAGTTGCTGAAGTTCAGAGAAGCAGTGACTGATGCTATTGCTTTTCCGAGCACTGGAAAAATATGTTCATCAACACCTTGTCTCGTGGAGACGGGAGAGAAAGGGCGGGGGAGCGGGCAACGAGAAAGCTGAGGAGTCTCAATTCCCCTTAAGGAATCCTTTTTCTTTTTCTTTTTTTTTTTTTTTTTCCCCTTAAGTGGAATTAGGCATCTATGAACTCCTGGGCGGGTTAAGACAGTTTCAGCCGAGCGGTTCGTCTCGACAACAACCTGGGGAGCGCTGCCCCGGCGGCCCCTTGCCCCAGCGCTCCGCGCTACCGTGCGGGGCAGGGACGGGCCGGTGGGAAACAAATACATAAATAAATAAATAAATGAACAAGCCGGCCAAGCGGCGGGTCCCAGCGTTCCCTTCCCGGCGGATGTTGCCGAGCCGCCAGGCACAAAGCGGCGGATGCCGCCCGGCCAACAGCGCATCCCCGCCGCCCGCACACACCTCCCGCGGGCACGGCCACCGCATCCCAAGCCCCGCACCGCATCCCAACCCCCGCGGGCACGGCCACCGCATCCCAAGCCCCGCACCGCGCTCACCTGCGGGGCCGGGGCGCCGCTCCGCCGCCGCCGGCAGCGCCAGGGCCAGCAGCGCCGGCAGCAGGAGCCGCGGCCACCGGGCGCCGCTCCTCGCCATCTTCGCCCTCCGCACCCGCCGGCCTGCCCGCGCCACCAGCCCCCGACAGCGGGGGAAAGCGGCGGGCGTGGAGAAGGAGCGGGGAGGAGAAGGCGCCTGGGGAGCGCGGCGGGCAGACACCGCTCCTCCTCGGCGGCGGGCAGCAGCCGGGGCGCTCCCCCCGCGCCGGGCTTTATAGGGCGGTGGGAGGGCCGGCGAGCCGGGGCACCGGCGGCGCAACAGGAGCCGCTGTCGGCGCACGGGGCCGCCGCCGCCGGGGAGGGGCGAGCGGCCAAGCCCCGCCTCGGGCCCGCGGGCGCGGCGCTGCACAGGCGCGGCACCCGCGGGGATGGGGCTGCGGGCAGCGCTCTCAGCGCCTGCCGGGGCCGGGCAGCGCTCCCGCCTGTGCTGTGCCTGCCCCGCCAGACACTTGCTCGGTGCTTTCACTGGCCATTATGTGTCGGTGAACGTGTTCCCGAGCATGCGGTTTTGTTCGGGAGAGGGTGAGTACCTGGAGGCGCTGCGCCGTGAGCCCATGGAAACGACGCGACCGTTCCGCCTGTGTGCCCCGATGGCATCGGGAGCGCATTGCCCATCCGCTCTGCTGGAGAAGGACACGTCTGTCAACGCCTCCATCGCCTCAGCATTCAGCTGACTTGGTTCGTTTGTCTAATCAAAACACACAAGACTGCTACATTTTTACCATTAAATAATAGCCAAAAAACCGCTGCAGGCAAGCTCGGCGATGATAAAGAAGTGGACTGGCCCACCTTCACTCTTTTTCTTATTGTGATACAAAGCATATTCAAATAAATACCATAAATGTTTAAAAGTGACATAAAAAGCACATCCAATACCATAAATGTTAAAAAGTGACATGCAAAACATATTCAATACCATAAATATTTAAAGGTGACATAAAATTTTAAAAGCAGCTGTCAACCTATTGGAATCAGTGTAGATTTACACCTTGGAAATACTATTTGAAGACCAAAGGCATGATCCAATACAAAAATTAGTGGTGAAAGTAAGATTCATGTATTTGAGTTCCACGTATATAACCATCAAATAGACACCTCATTTTTTATCCTAAATGTCACTATGGGCTTAACAGATGTTATTTTTTGGACCTACAGAGAACAGAATAACAAGGGGGAAAGAAAGGGAAAACTTGACCTGGCTCTAAGTGCATGCTGTTATTTGGAACCCAGGGCAGAAACCAGAACCTGCATTATTCTCCTAGATGCCTTTGTGGTTAATTGGAAGAGCTCATTCTTTCTGGGTCTGACTGCACAGTCAGCAGGGATGGAGAGCAAACCAAATAAAAAGACTGGGTCCTTGGTCTGAAGGAGCATCTGCAACATAGAGCCTCATGAAGGCAGCAGCTGGGAACTAAAAATGTAATAATGCAATTGATAGAGTGATCCTCCAGTTCTTGGGAAATTACTCATTATGTGCTTTTTCCTCCCACCTCTTCCAGGCAGAGAACAAATATGTTGTGAATGCAGACAGTATGACCACATTACTGCACACATCCATGAACAGGCTCTGCTCACTCCAAGAAGCAGCACCAGTGCTGCTGATCACCTCACCACATTAGCTGAAAGTGAGCAATGCCATGACTGGGATGATCCTGCAAGTACATCCATCTTCAGGTTTGGTTTTTCAATAAAAAAAGTTCAAGAAATTTGGCTAATGGAAAATGAAGATGGAAAAAAATAGTTAATCTATCACAGCTGTAGTTTTAAGGTAGAAAACAGTTCAAACAAGCATTTCAAAAGAGGTTGTCAACAGATCAAATCTTACCTCAGATCCAGAACAGTTTAATGGTAACACTTGTACTGAGAGATAGAAAGTATAATTGCAAAGCTGAAAAAAAACCAAAAAACCAACCTCATTGAGAATAAATCACTGAAGACATGTAGAACACACTCAGTACCATCAACCCTGAAAGAAATCACAGATTTCTTCAATAAAGTCTGAGAGGAAAAAACAGGACCATTGGGTATAATTTCAGAATACCATGGAGATGATGTCATGGCTCCCAGGGATGGAATGGAAATCAGACAAAGCTTCAGCCCCTAGAATTGAGAGTAAAATCAGTGGCTGATGGTCACGTACATACCCAGTGCTTTGAGAAATCACAGCCATAAGCAGCTGCTTTCACCAGAGAAAATACACAGGTCCTGAAACAGCTCTGTTAGGTCGAAACTAATGGGCATAAAGAGGAGAGAGTGTCCAAGAGGAATCCTAAGAGGCATTTCGTTATCAAAACCTACAAGTAAACAGTAGCAGGGAAGAATGAAAAGAATTGGTGAAAGAACTCTGTAAATATGCAACAGTGAAAGGAAAGGAAATAGCTGGCAAAGACAGATTTCTAAAGTAGGAGGAAAATGGGTTGAGGGGACTGTGATATAAACACTGCTCATACCTGTAAGTGCAAGCCCAGACTTGGACTAGAAATGTATGCATTTTCTTGTTATTTTCCATGGTCTCTTGAAGGCTAGTTTCAATTTTAGACTGTTCTTAGAAAATGCAAGCTTTGTCCCCAGAGAGAAAACAGAGCTGAAAGCTACCCAAAATACTGCTTTCAAAGTGACAGATGTGGTCAAGACTTCTCCTACCCCCAGAGGCTTCACTCGGACATTGGCTGATGGAAAGGAAAATGCTTGTGAAACTCCAGAGCTGAGCTGCACCAGCTGTGCAGTGCCCAGGGGCTCTCTCTTGCCCTGCTCGCACATACACTTGGGTTGGAAATGCTGCTTTTGTGCACAAATACCAACTACAAGGCCTGAACTGGCAGCTGGTGGTTAGCAGGGTCTTCAGCTCTCCTGATGCTTTTGCAGGCTGCTTCAGAACTGTACTGCTGGTGTAGCATCTGCAACACTTAAAACATTTAAACATTAGAGCTCCTAAGCTGAAACTTACCCTCAAACCAAAACAATTTTAAAGAATAACATAGGCAGTATTGAGTGAAATATCCAAGTATGTCTGTTAAGCTACAGAGGTTAACTCCTGAAGCAATTCCTATAGATGCTCCAAGAAACAGGCTTACATTCTTGCTATTCTGACTATTTGTTCCTTTGATTTTTTTACTTTATTGAGCCTTTTTCCCTTCCCTCTGCAACAAGGCAATTTCTTCATAAGAAATGTTTTGTCAAGTAGGCGTGGAGGACGGAAGAGAGTTTTAGTTGTGAGGCCTTGAATGTGGGAGCCCAAGGATTTGTTTGTCCTAAAACTACAGTAGTAGTGAGAAAAACAAGAATGAGAGCAACTGCAAGCAGTCCTCACTTCCAAAAGTAACTGTGTAAAGCAATTTTCAGACCCTGTGCATTTGCAACAGCTCAGCAATAATATCTGAAATCCAGCTGGTAAGTATTTAGACAAAATTCTACAGGACCTTTGCAGAAGACAACAGTTTCCTGAATTGTTTCTAACCCTAATTCTTTCGGTAGCTCTTCCTCGATATTTAGAGAGCTCTTTTAGGGTCTCAGTAACTCCCTGTCTGTATCTGCCCATCTGCACCTCCTTTTCCCTTTCTCCTAATTGCCTGTAGGAAATTATCATGAGGTTAGAAACCCATCTTACCCAAACCACCACCAATTTTGTATTTCAAAATGCATGTAGCCAATGCCACGTGGAATGGAAACAGAGGCAGTTCACTGCAGTACCAGCCCACCACTACAGTCAAAGGGAGGGAGGTCCTGTTGCAGAAAGCCTTCTAAACCACAGGAACTTTTTATGAGACCTTTTTCACATCCTCTAATTACTCTTCATCTCGCTGTCGTTAAAGCAAAAACCAGTGTGTGCAGTTGCAGTGCTTTTCCTCTCCTTGAATTTACCTCACCTTGCATCTAGGCCTCAAAACCATTCTTTTATTCTGGAGCCCCACTAGATTACCTTTTCCACAAATGCTAAAATGGAGAAGCATTGGTCACATGAACTTCCTTCCCTAACTTTGTAACACTAAAACTATTCATTATATATTAATTAAAACAAAAGAAAAATAACAAGATTGATGAGTGGAAAGCCACAGACAGAAGAGATTTTCAACAATTCCCCAGCAGCAGCATTCCAAGAATAAAATAAAATCATCGTGCAAGGATCCCAAGTCTCTAACCTCAATAAAGATCATGGTTTTATAACAGATAATAAAGTTTTGTCTGGGCAAAATCAGATATTCCCCATGTATATTCAATAGCAGCAGTCATTAGTTATTTGCTATAAAGAACAAATTGATTCGTCTCCTATTCCAGATTTTCCTCTCAAATGTCTTTCTTGTTGCATAAATTTTGTCCTGTCTGTGTGTTACAGCAGTAATTCCACAGCAGTGTTTCACTGCCTGGGTCAAGTGGATTTAAACTATAAAATTAAATAAAAGGTTTTGACTTCTTGCTTATATCATGGGTCTAATTTATTAATAAAAGTAGTTAAATGAGTTCATTTTTGAAGCTAGATCTGTTTTTACATGAATTTGGGGTAGCTGAAAATAGATGTTTGCTATTACAAAATAATACTAATAGGAATTGACATTCCAAATTAATTTTAAAAAATAAAATCTCCTTGTCAATCATAGGAAAAAACCTTCTTCAGATATAGTTTAGGTGCCTGAAGTTGTTTAAATTTGACGCAAGCCAATGAAACACTAGCATTAAACTATAATTAATTTTTCTTCTTTAAAAAAACATATCAATAGGGATGTGAAAGTCCATCTGGCATTAAACCGTGCATCAGACTGTCTGACTTAGTGTGTGTGTGCAAGCCTGCAATGAGGCCTCTTAAGTACTTCAACCCTAATATGAACTCCTCCACAGACAAATTATTTCCAAAGAATCGGGCTAAATGGCACTGAAATTCTAGTCTTGCTTTCTTAAAATAGTTTCTCTTTGGTTGCCTCCCTTTAATTTAACCTCAATTTCAACCAGAATATTTCTCTGAGGTGCTGCCCCAGTGGTGTGATTGTGGGTGTGATCCAACCATGGCCAAGAGCTGCCAAGGGCTCCTCAGGGATGCTCAGCACCTTTCACTGTGGGGCACTGGGGGAACCTTTTGGGTTGGAGTCAGGGTTTCTTTCCGAAACCACCCAATCAGAAATTACTTTGCATTCACTCGTTTATAATTTTTGCTATAAACAGCCCATATGAGCAAAAGATTAATAGGGCTAGCAAGCATTTCCAGGGTATAATCGGCTGTCATCCCATAATTACTCAAAGAGATTGAACGAGTGGCTTTGAAATTACAAGGAGAGTTGCATTCTTTTACTGAGATGGGAGCAGCAAAACATGAATACCCATGAAAAGCCCTGCTAAGTTTTTGTCTGTGGTTCATCCTTTAGCATTTAGGACACGGTTGCTCCAGCCTCAAGGGCCTATCCTGTGGTACAGAGGTCAGTGAGTGCCATAAGAGTGTTAATCCTGCTGATCTTGCCTTAAACCAGATGCATTAGTCCTCTGGTATTGCTTCTGGGGGACACAAAGGTCTGATCCTCATCTTTCACTTCCATTGCATTCATTTTTATGTGATTTATATAAGCAAAGAAACTGAGAATTAAATCCTGCAGAGTAATCCCTGCTGGTCATGGTTGATCTTGTAAAGATTTCCCTCCCATCACCCAATAAACTATAAAATCCTTCCCACAGCCTCAAATGAGAGGTGTTGAAATGCACAATTAATCAACATGACTAAAGTGTTGCTTTTGTTATAGTTTGGAGATGCAGAAAAGAATATAATAGAAAAGGAAGCAACATTCAAGAAAACTGGCAAAAAGAAAAATAATTTTAAACATTTGCTGTGTGGGATTAATAGAAACTAGTAGAAAAAAAGCCTTTAAGAAATCTTCTGGAGCTGGGAATTGATTTGATTGGAGTTTTGTGTCTGTCAAAACCCCATCACTGCAGAAGCATTCCACTGAAGTGAGCCTGTGGTGCTGAGCAGGCTGAGGGGTGTCACACGTGTGTGATCGACGGAGGGGGAGCTCATGGTGTGTTTTACATAGTTCCCCTAAAGCTGACTATTTTTGTGATTTCAGAAAACCAGAGAAGAGTTCTAGAGTGAGAGTTTGAAAAAACCACTGGAGCAGAGAACCATGTATTCCCCTACGGGAAGACATCAGATTTCTTACCCTCCGTTACTGAAATGGTTTTGGTCAAAATTTCTTTTCCTTCTTCCCCTGCTCTGGGAGTTTTATGTCTGTTCTGTCTATCCACAATGATCTCATTCTCTCCAGCTGACTTGTTTGAGGTAAATAGAAACTGCTGTCCTAATTTTGACAGGTAGTTGGTTTTTTTAGTAATTTAGTTTGATTTATAACAAAACTGCCATTAAATTAGTCTTATTCCTACTTCCTGTATGATGCAAATGAGGAATCCCAGATGGCCTGAAAACAACTTCTGGCAGCATTTCTGGAGCACTATATTCAAGAGAGAAAAGAAAGGAGATGGACTGGCCATTATTTTGCTGCTGCAGAGTCCCTTTCCACAGAGCCTTTCAGATCCCACTTTTCAGCAGGCAGTGTGTGAAAGAGCAGCCTCAGGAAAGGTGAAGGAAAGCTAAGAACCACAGATTATTTTTTTTTTTAAATTTAGTAGCTGGTCAAAATATTATATGGCTTTTCAATAC